GAAATTATTTATTTCCGAGGTAAGCAATGATTGAATTGGTAGTATTAATTAAAGTGATATTTAATTGACTTTTATTAGCCTATATCAGAAATTTTCTTGGTTGATAATAGAAGTAGTTGGAAGGGGCCTGAGTTGAATAAGCTGCTGCTCAACTTCCGTTATTAATATTGGTTTAGTCGATGTAGGGGTTCTGAGCTATTGTTGTCAGCGTAGAGACTTTTAGTTTTCAGAAATTTGTCTATTAACAATTGTATAATAATGCTTTTTATTCGGGTAATAATAGCAATGGTGTGGGGGTGGGAAGGATAATGATAATGTGGTAATATATGGCGTGGCGCCGGATATGTATTCAAAATTGTGCATATCTGTTTTCGTTCTAGTTCGCTCGTTACTAGAACTTTTGAAGTCTAATTCAGACAATTGTGGAAAAACCGCTTGTATTTTGTTTCGTACTTGGTCGTTAATTTTATTATTCCAGTTGTCCGGCGCCAGGTACAGCCATATAATTGACGTAGAAAAATATTGGATTTAAATGTGTTTATCTATTGTATGATGTACAGTCACTGGCAAAAAGAAATTTGTATAGTAAAACGTATGAAAAATCTTCTTTTTTTTTTTTCGAAAATTGCTCTCAGCTATATCTACTAAATAAATAACATTATTTTTGTATCATTTTGAAGCCAATTGACTGTAGTTTTCAGTTGAGTTTGAACAACTAGTTATAAATTTATTGTTACTTACATAACTAGTGAAATGTAGTTCTGAACACTGCTTCAGTCTGTGCCCATATAAAAAATACATTACACATTACTTTTTATACATTTTATAATACTGTTTATGTAGTCTTGAATGCTAAGCCATTCTGTAATTTTCTTTAAATCACAAACCCTTTTATTAATACTACTTAGCGAAAATGTCAAGTAGCGAACATTTCAGTCCACTAAATTAACAAAATTACGTTCGTTGAGCGGTGAGGAATGGAAAGAGACTGAGAACAAGGGTTAGTGTGGGAGGACGGTGTCGTTGTATAATACAAATCAAAAAATTTTAGAGACTGCAATCCAAGAAGAAGTGGTAACACAGTACTACAAGGATGACGCCATTATCAAAACCTTAATATTAACAGGTTGAAAGGACTAAGCAACCAAGTATCAGTTTACCCTCTGAATACTAAACACTGGTTTATATCCGTCAATTTTCTCAGTTTTTAGTTTTGTTGGGGTTTTTTGGTAGTTGAGAGTATATTTTTCGGTTAATTGACGAATCTTAAAATCTTCAAATTCCTACCAATTAAAAAAAACCCACAAAGGCGACATCATGTTATATGCAATTTGTAGGAAAATCCTTTAAGCAGGTGGCTTAAGTGAGCAAAGGTAACAGAAGAGAAAGATAGAAGTACTCTTGTTATAAACTCGAGCTTGTTATTTTAACATAATGCAATCTCTAATAACACTTTTACTCTATGAAAGCTCAATCAATACGTTTAGCTCAATATAAAACACGCGTTCTGCCACACGAGAATCGCTATTTTTACATTTATATAAGCATACCACGGATGATACTTGAATTCGATTACTATATCTTTGTTATTGTATCACTGTTTTGATCTTGAACGGCCGATGCTTTTGCTTCACGCTTGGTGGATAATTTACTAAGATAAAGCATTTTTTGCATGCAACTATAAGGAGCATCAGTTTCAATAACTATTTTTTTTTTTCAAAAAAATTTTTTAATCACTTTTTGTCATTTTATTTTTATTTTCCACCCTGATAACCAGCAAAACAATGTAAAACCCCAAGTCGATAAACTTTTGTGTTATTTCTCAACTTTCCGTAAAGCAACGGAGAATGCCCTTAACGAGAGAGATTGTCGTTATGTAAGTTTGATTCTTTCTGACTGAACCGTTGTTTGTGTAGGGGTATGTGTTTATCGGGTATTATGGAAATTGTTTTGACAAAATTAATAGTTTTTTAGATTCATTGCCGAGTGATTTTTGGAAAAAACTAAATAAAACTTTTGGCCCGTTTTCCATTTGGTATATGTAGCTCGGGAATGCAGTGATATCGGGCGACGCTAGTTACTGTGAATAAGCGTCAGTACCCCTCCAAAAAAAAAGGCCAGAGAATTCCGATAAAAACCGATAACTCATAATTTACGCGCTGTTTGTGTTCTTGTTTATTACTGCTGTCGAGGAAATTAATAACATACAGTCATTCGGTGTATGGCTAGGCAAATCAACCGATGGCGGCTCAGGAAAAATCACTTTCGGCGGGTTCAATCCTGCTCACATAGTCGGCAATCTAACTTCAATTCCTCTTGTCAAAAGCTTTGACAGTATTGGGTCTTGTATCTTTTGGCGGTTAGGACATTGTACTTACACTAAAGAACCTTGCTGCGTTAGATACTGGAACATCATATATTAGTGCATCGACCACTCTAGCGATCAGATTAACACAGCATTAGGATCAGGTGGTAGTTTCTCGTCCCAGGCAAATGCGTATATTATACCATGCAACGCAAAGCTACCGGATATGACGTTTACTTTCGGAACCGCATCTTTCACCATCCCAGGCTCCGATTTGGTTGTTCGAAAAGGAAAAGAAGTATGTGAGAGCGCTATTACCCCAAGTGACCTTGACGGAGATGTGGTAAGTTCAATAGGCAGGGTTGGAGAAATTAACCGTTTTAATCGGGTTTGTCGTCGGTTGTTTTAACCTAATTATTATTATTTGTTTATTGTATTAGTCATTTCTCCTGGACGATACTTTCTTAAAGAACTATTATGCCTACTTCGACATGAATGGGTCAACTATCGGCCTTGCCAAGGCTAAACGATAATAGAAAAGGAAGGGAAATATTATTTACGGCCGAACAAAAACAATAATGATAGTATGTAAGAACGCGTTGTGCATCATTCTTTAAGGGTGTTCTCATTAGTTTGCCTTCCCTGACGAGTTTGCAATTTAAAGGGGAAGTTGCTAATAGAAATATTTATTATTGTTCTGATAATTATACACGTAATAGAATAAAGTTGTAGTAAACAATATAATAACATAACGTCTGTTATTCACCAACACTTACCATTATGGTACCTTCCCTATATTGGAGGGATAGCATTGTAAATATAAATCCCAATTTAATTCGTCCATTACAGACCATGTAACAAGGTGAAAGGTTGGCATTTGATGCCACATGAAAATATACACAGCCAGTTTTCTTCATTACTCGAAATAGATTGGTGTTAATATTGCAAATTGACTTTATTTGTACCAACTTGTAACCATACCTGCAGCTGAATCCAAAACATAACTGTTTTTTAGTTTGGCAAATGTCCAGTAGGTAAAAGCATACTAATACTAGAATATTTACTCTACTTCTCGAAACATGATAATAATAATGGCTTTACATCATTATGATAGATAGTATTCCAAACGTTGTCACCAGATCCTTCCCCCGCATCTTTAAAAAGCTTGTCAACATTGCTCCCAAGTGTCCTTCCATCCTTTGGACGCTTATCAGGATCAGCATCACAACACTGCTCGGCAAGTTTCTTGTATTCCTCTGGCGCAGAATCAGGCATCGA